ATAGATAGATAGATAGATAGATAGATAGATAGATAGATAGATAGATAGATAGATAGATAGATAGATAGATAGATAGATAGATAGATGGAGTGGATGGATAGATAGATGAGAGGGAGAGATGGGTAGATGGGTGGCTAGAGAGTGGATAGATATAGAAAACAGATAGACACAGATGGATGGGGGGGAGATATGATAGATGGATGGATGGATGGAGAGAGAGGGAGGGAGATGGAGATGAAAGGATGAACTGAACTAGTCCTTGTTAATAGAGAATTTCTTTGTTTTGGGCTCTTCCTTCTAGATTTAGACTTCCTTGTCCCCAAAGCCGGCTTCTTTTGTCAGATCTGCTCCTGCTTCTGTGTGGATGAAGCCTCCATGAACAGCCACTGCCAGACTCCCCTCCACCAGCAGAACATGGAGGTACTGCTTTTCCACCGGGGCAAGGAGCCCCAAGGGTGAAACGGGGGAGCAGGGTGCGAATCCCGCCCTTCCTGCAGGGGCCCTGGGGAGGAATGCCGCTGGGTTCTTGGGCGAAAACCAGTGGATCCCATTCCAAGGATCCTCCCCACACAAGAGATTCTCCTGGGGTCTTTGTGGCAGGAAAGGAGATCAAGGAGAAAGCCAGGAGGCTCAAAGGATCCCAATAACCACAGCTAGTCCTCGACTTACGACCACCATTGAGCCCAACATTTATGTGGCTAAGTGAGAAATTTGTTGGGTGAATTCTGCCCCGTTTTACAACTTTTCTCGCCACGGATGTTAAGTGAATCACTGAAGCGGTTAAGTTAGTAACTTGGGATATTAAGTGAATCGGGCTTCCCCCATTGACTTTGTCAGAAGGTCCCAAAATGACCCCGGGACACTGTGACCGTCGTAACTATGAACCAGCCGTCAAGCGTCCAGTGTAGATCACGTGAGCCTTGGGGATGCTGCAAAGAAGGGTTGCAGCTGGTAAATGGTCATAAAGTCCCCTTTTCCACTGCTGTTTCCCAGGGCTGTTGTAACTGAACGGTCATTAAATGAACTGTCGTCAGTCAAGGACTACCTGTGTTTCCCCCCATCCATGTGTTCGATCAGAAGTATCCCCATTTTCTTTCTTGCCACCTTCTCTAAACTGGTGAATGGCAGCTCTTGCTTCTTAAGCCATTTCCCAAATCCTTACTGATCGGGGAACCGACTCTTTCTTGCATCACAATGGATCAGTGGTGAGAGCTGCAGAGGGTGTGTGGAGGCCCCAAATCACACCACACACAGAGGAGAGAGTCTAAAAGCGGAGTCCAGGCTTGGCTTCAATACCCGAACTAGGTAACATCAGCACTAATGACCCAGTTTGGGGGTCCAGGGGTTCAAGTAAGTGTGAATCGCTTTGGAAGGGAGGAAGGCCTGTCCTCAGCATCTGTGGGTGAGCTCTAAGCTGTCTGCACTTGCTAGGGAAAAAAGCTTTTGATGCCCCAGGAATCAGCGTGGCTGGCTGCGGGATTCTGGGAGTTGGAGTCCACAAGTCTTCAAGTGACCAAGGTTGGAGACCCCTGCCCTCGTGGACTGTGCAGTGGGCAGGATGACTCTGTGGTAGTTTTGAAAAAGCAGGCTCCGTCCTAGGGATCCTTGGGGAAGGGCCTGAGAATAAGGCCACCATTAACGTAGAGCCCTGAACAAAAAGAGCCCAGCGTCTCCCCCCTGCAGTCATCAGCCAGACCAGCATAAATGAACTCCTACGGTGAACATCAGACCAACAATCAAGTCAACAATACCCCAACCAGGAATTGAATTGAATTTAATTCAATTTTATTATTTGTATGCCGCCCTTCTCCGGGAGGGACTCAGGGCGGCGAACAACTCAAAAGGGGAAAAGGGGAACATAGAACAGAATACAAGTAATTAAAATAGGCAAGAATCACACAACCACACAAGTCGAGAGGGGAGGGGAACTCATCAACCCCAGGCCTGCCGGCAAAGCCAGGTTTTGACGGCTTTTCGGAAGGCCTGGAGAGAGGTGAGGGTCCGAATCCCTGCGGGGAGTTCATTCCAAAGGGCCGGAGCTGCTACAGAGAAGGCTCTCCCCCAGGTAATAGCCAGGTGGCATTGGCTGGCAGCAGAAACTGGTAAAGAAGCCAACAGCCCAAGACCGCCCCCACCAACACTGACAGGCAAGCCAGTAGAATATAAACGGACTGCAAACCACACTCCTCGCCGTCAGTTTTCCTAAAAATGCCCTAATTGATTCATGAGTATCGAGCCAAGTTTCAATACAAAGCCAGTCATTTATTAGGAGCGCCATTAGGCCTTTCCGCAGTCAGATCTGAGCTTTGAGCTGACCTTTAGCCCTGTTCCTCCCCTCTCCTCAGTCTGTGTCATAAATCACATTCCCCAATGAGGTGCATCCCTCCCAAGCCTGCTGCAGTCATCTGAGATCCGACCTTATGCATGGAATGCGCTCTTCCCCCCTTCCCTCACCATGACAACTTTAGCAGCTGACAGTAGCACTGATGATGTTACCTAGTTTGGGTCATGAAGCGTCTTGCAAGGAAACCACCAAGCTCAGAGAGCACCAAGGACCCCACCCACCCCTCCTCCCTGCAAACCGTACCCCCTTCTGGCACTGATGATATTCCTTAGTTGGGTCATGAAACGTCTGTAAGGAAACCACCAAGCTCAGAGAGCACCCAAGACCCCTCTTGTCAATCCTGAGCTGCAGGTACTCCTCCTTTCTTAGATCCCTGAAGTTTTTGTGCACAAGCCTTGGTGTCACACTTAGAAGAGTGCAGATAAAAATGATAGAAAAAGGAAACAACTTTCTCAAAAACGGGGCAACTGATTAGCCTTTGGGGAAAAATAAACCCTGAACCCCTCTTATAATTTGTCATAAAGCAAAGGTTTTTCCCCTCTTTTTCAGAAATTCATGGTCAAGAGCCCCGCAGAGGAGAAAGAAAAAGAAGATACGGAAAAAGAGAGTTTAACGTGATGGGAAGACGGGAAGTGCCTCCGCAGAATTTCATTTAGGGTCCAGTTGCTTTTTTTTGTGTTCTGTTCCTGGTTTTGTTCCGTTTCTACTTGGTTCCTTTTGAAGATTTTCATGCCGTATTCACTTCGCTTCCTTCGAGAAGCAGGCTATTAAAATTGTGTAGTGATTTTTATTTCCTTCCACAATAACGCTGGAAGCGCTCAAATAAATTCTTACCGTAGAGCCAAGAGGTTGGGTTTTTTTATTTTTGATTCTGAGTGGCAGAAATGGCCACCCTTGTGCCGTTTGGACGTCAGTTGGGCACCCCGAGTTTCCACCGCAGACAAATTGATGGGGGTCTCCCGCTCAGCGGTTTTATTAGCCTGTGTTGTCTGGCATTTTGTCATCGTATTTGGCACATTTAATACAATAGCAGAGTTGGAAGGAACCTTGGAGGTCTTCTAGTCCAACCCCCTGCCTAGG